AATGCCCGTAACCGCTGTTCCCCCTTCCCATCTCCTTTACCCATTTGCCAAAATAATCACGTATGAGTCCAAGAAATACCTTCTGCACGCCCCTCCTGAGTAGCTTGGGGCTGGGGGAGGAGGTTGCACGACTCGGTAGGTGAACACCAATGGGCCCGAGTCACAGTAGAGAGGCAGACGTCTAAGGGTCACTGACCACCAGCAGCCTGTCCCCCTCTGCGCCTACGAGCCTGGAGCTTCTGTGCCCGCTCAGCACGGACACGCTCTCCTCCCTCCCCTCTCAGGTCTTCTGCACGTGTCGACACAGCATCAAGGAGAAAGTGGCTGGCACAGAGGAAACCCGCCCTCTTCCTGACACGGGACAGCATACAGCACTAACTGCTCTGTCTTATCCCTTCCATAAGAGAGAGCAGTAGTTCTCAAACTCGAATGTGCACTGGACTCACCGTGATGGACAGAGGGCACTGAAGGCCAGATGTCACCCGCTTCCTGTCCCAGAGGTGCCAGTCTGGCAGCCTGGAGGGTGCGGCACATCAGTACATTTTAAAGCTCGGGATGATTCTGACACGGCTGATCCGGGGAGCGCACTGAGAACCAGCCAGCACACCGAGCAGTGTCAGAAAGCAGACCACCTAGGGAAGCCGCCTGGGGAATTATTTTGTTGGGGGATGGGGGATGTTTTTGCGTTAGGGCACATGCATTGCTACAGAGACAGAAAGACAGAGACAGTGAGAGGGAAAGTGAGAAATCACCTCCCACCCCAAGGGGTGGACACGCAGCAATCCCTTCTCCTCTGTTCTCCTCCCAGAATCTTGGGCATGCATACACACAGACCGGCATGATTTTGAAGCCACCAGGTCCATGACTTAAAACACAGCCACCCGTGTGGGAGTCCAGTGATGCAACCATCATGCCATCTGCTGGTCCCTGGAGAAGTTTTTAAATTAAATTAATGTCAATTATAGTATCCATCTTGGATTTTTTAAAAATAGAAGTCTGTTTTTATATCGCATTTGCAGGTGTTCTCATGCGTGCTAAAGCTGGAGTTATTTAGCTAGTGTCTGTCTTCATCAAGGACTAGTCCCTTCGGTTCCCTGTCTCCTATCATCACGGGGTCTTCTCGTCCCTGAGCACTGAAGAAAGGAATACATCCACCCACTCCGTTATAGCAGCCTTACCTTGACAGCAAAGCCAGACAAAGGAGCCAGCTAGTGACACAGCAGTTAAGGCGGCTGGATCCCACATGGCTTACTGTGCTCAGAGTCCTGATCTGGCAGCTTGAAAAACATGCCAGGAACCTAAACATACATGCCCCAAATGAAAGGAGGGAGGAAGGGAGGAGAAGGAATTATGGCATGCCCTTGCCCCATGCTGTTGTGTTGGGGAGGTAGGGCTTTCTTGCTTTCACTCTTTCTGTCTCTACTTGCCTCTCGCTAGTGAGTGCATGCACCCACAGCAGAATTTAAAAATCAAAGCGATGACCACTGTCGGCCATAATGTATGTGGTAAAATCCTTCACCTGACTAATATGTACTATGATCATGCTGGGAAAGACCATGTGCACTGTAAAGATGTTCAGTGATTAAATGTAAATATAAACTGATTTTAAAAATAAGGTTCTTACACATTTTATAAAAGACATAACAACAATAGAAATCGTAAGCAAATAGTTCTCACTGGCACAGGTACAACAATTCTCACCAAAATCTGAGGAAGCCCAGCAAGGTACAAACGTGTGGGGAAGCATGACTAAGTGGGCCTCATACCAGGAACGCACTGGCTTAATACTTAAAATGAGTTCATGTGATTTACCCCTCTGAGGAACAAGTAATCTAACAAGGATATCGGCGGCAAAACAGCCTCAAAAAAATCTAACAAAACCTAACACACATTCCTGATTAAAACTGTTGAAAAAACTGAGATTAGAAAAGACTTCCCCACCCTAACAAGTCGTAGCTAGAGCAGGCCTGCAGCACATCTCGTTCTGAGAGACGGACTGCTCTTCCCCTAAGATCAGGAATAGCACAACCTCTGCTCTGCACAGTGCCTGAGGTATAATCAGGGTAATAAGGAAAAATAGAAATAAAAGTCATTCCGTTTGAGAAAGTAAGACAAATTGTCTTTGTTTGCCGACAACATGGGCTATGCAGGGAAGCAGACGGAGACTACAAAAGAACTAGTTTAAGTCTTCAGTAAGCTTAGCACATTTAGAGGCTCCAGGGTTGCAGAATAGAAAATACAAAAATTAAATATATGGTATTTAATAGCAATAAATGATCAGAAATGGCAACAAAAATGATTTACAAGGGTATCAAAACATATCCATAGGGAGAAATTTGACACCCACACACAGGGCCTGCACACTGAAACTTAAACACGACTGAGAATTCAAAGACCCAAATAGAGAGGTGCATGTTTATGGGTGAGAAGATGCACTTTTACTGACATGCCAGTCCCCCCAGAGAATTCAAAGACCCAAATAGAGAGGTGCGTGTTTATGGGTGAGAAGATGCACTTTTACTGACATGCCAGTCCCCCAGATAACAACCACATTGGGTGCAATCCTATTAAAAATCTGAGGCACCATTCTGTCGTCACAAAGCGGACAGGACGGTTCTACGTGCTTTATGGCAATGAGAAGAGCTAGAGTAGCCAAGTCACGTTTTGGACGGAAAGAGAACAGAGGCGGAGATTCCTGTCCTTGGCCCGAGACTCGGGGGCCGCAGTGGACACGGCAGTGTGGTAGTGGGCTTACGGGCAAAGCGTCATGTGGACAGACAGAAGAGTCTGGAAATATGCCCAAACATATGAGGCTGGAGGATTTTTGATGAAGATGGTAAAGCAATTCAATGGTCAAAGAATCTTTTCAGAGAAGACGTTTCAGCAATAGTATAGCCACACTCACAAATGGGAACCTTGACCTTAACCTTGTACCTCCACAAATATCAACTCACAAAGAGTAGCAGAACGAAATGAAAGTTTCAAACTACGAAACTGGAAGAAAATAGAAAAGAATATCTTAGTACCAGGAGCAAAGACTTTTTAACTAAAACACAAAAGTTACAAAACTATACAATATTAAACATCAATAGAATGAACTTCATCGACATTTATAATATTTGCTCTTCAAAGACTCCATTACGGGGAACCAGCAGTTAGCATAATGGCTATGTCGCTGGACTCCCACGTAGTCGACCGCGGTTCGTGTCCCAGACCCGGTGGCTTAAACTCACGCCGGGCGCGTGTGCATGCGTGCCCAAGATCCCGAGAGGAGAATGGAGGAGAAGGGATTGCGGCGTGCCCATCCCCCCTGGGGGGTGATTTCTCGCTTTCTGTCTCTATGTCTTTCTCTGTCTGTCTGGCGAGCGCACGCGCCCTACAGTGAAAATCTCTCCAAAAAAAAAAAAAAAAAAAGACTCCATTACGGAAATGAAAAGGCAAGACATAACGCAGGAAAAATATGTGCAAAGGGCCAGCAGGCGCAGTCGTGGTTAAGGTGCTGGGTTCCCACGTGGCCAACTGTGGTTCGAGTCTTAGATCCAGCATGTAAGACTCACCACAGGCGCCTGAGCATGCATGCTCAGAATCCCAGGAGAATGGCGGAGAAGGCCATCTTCCCTAGGGGGTGACCTCTACTTCCCCCTCACTGTCTCTCTCTGCCTCTCTCCAGTGAGCACATGTGCCCTGTGGCAATAACCTTAAAAAAAGTGCAAAATGCATATTTAACAATGGACTAGTGTCTGTATTATTGGGTTGTTGGGAAATTCATCACACATTTTCGCACAGAAAAACATAGCAAAGCACGTCACGACTTCCCCAACAACGGAGCATGTGAGACTCTCTTACTTCTCCATAAGACATGAGCAACCCAATTTAAAAATGGGTAAACTATTTAGATAGATACTTTCACAAAGAACTGTAGATAGCAAATAAGTACCTATGAAGATTCTCAACGTAACTAGCCATTACGAAATTATAAATTAAATGTAATGAGGCATGTGCCCCACTCCCCCACCGAGCAGCTAAATGAAAGGCTCCCCCAGGGCCCTGAGAAGAGTGTGCAGAGCCCACCTCTCATGACGGGACGTGGCGATGCTGCTGCCTTGCGACTGCTTTGCGGGGTTAAACACGCACCTACCTGACCAGCCGGGCACTCCACCTCCGGGTATGTAGCCCAGACTGTGGAAAGCAGTTCATTGCCTGCCCAAATGTTCCTATAAACCGAATTTGTAATGTGAAAACACTGGAGAGAGCTCACGTGCCCGTGAACGGGTGAGCGGGGAGCACACCGTGGTGCTGCCATGTAGGGGAATATTATTACTTAGTGATAAAAACCAATCAGCTGCTGAGGTGAGCCACGAGGGGAAAAAGGAAGAAACACAACATTTAAGGAACACAAGATGGAAAATTACCTGTTGAAGATAGTATGTACGGTAATATCTTGATGGAGTTAATATACAGTAT